GAAAGATTTATTGGATTTTTTTACACAAGTCCAAGCGAAGAAAGCCGATGTTATCAAAACAAAATGGATCATCAAGGTCATAATTCTGACTATGGCAAAAGTTCCATAAATGAAACATTTCTTATGAGATTTTCATGAAACAAAGAAGACACAAAGATACAAGTTGATCAAATAGTTCTTCAACTTTATGGCATAAGTTGCTACCCTGATATCCAAAGGTAACCCTGGAAATAAATGATCAAGTGAAAGAAGACCAAGCTCACCACTTTGAAGTCAAATGAAGATTGCATCATGCATTCATGGGAACATCATTTGCACAATAAACAATGCATTACATCGATACATTTGATTGCATTCAAATATGAAATTTTACAGATCTTTTTATGAAAAAGAAGATTCATGATGGAAAATACCTTACAAAAAGAAGGTAGAATTCAAAACCTCAAATACAGGAATCATACAAACATCCAGAGAATAGATGGTCGCAATCCACAAATAAAGCATTATCTTGAGATTGGGGAATGTTACCCAATCGACATTTTATTTTGAAAAATAATGAGAAAACGCTTTCCAAAGTTTCTCATTTAATCTTTTTTGAAAATGAAATTGTTGAATAGTAATAAAACTATTTCCATAGTTTTTTACTTAGTAAACTATTTCCCACATCTGTAAGCCCTTTAGTGCATGATGTTTTCAAAACCTTCGGGTCATCTGTAAGCCATTCAGTGCATGATGTTTTCAAAACCTTCGTGTCATCTGTAAGCCCTTCAGTGCATGATGTTTTCAAAACCTTCGGGTCATCTGTAAGCCCTTCAGTGCAGGATGTTTTCAAAACCTTCGGGTCATCTGTAAGCCCTTCAATGCATGATGTTTTCAAAACTTTCGGGTCATCTGTATGCCCTTCAGTGCATGATGTTTTTAAAACCTTCGGGTCATCTATAAGCCCTTCAGTGCATGATGTTTTCAAAACCTTCGGGTCATTTGTAAGCCTTTCAGTGCATGATGTTTTCAAAACCTTCGGGTTATCTGTAAGCCCTTCAGTGCATGATGTTTTCAAAACCTTCGGGTCATTTGTAAGACCTTCAGTGCATGATGTTTAAAATCCTTCGGGTCATCTGTAAGACCTACAGTGCAAGATGATAGGACCTCTGGACATAATGTTTTCAACATTTCCATCCTACTCAAAAGAAGCCAAATGAAAAAGTTATTGTATTTTTTCGTATTTGCTCTATTCTTGTTAACACAAGAATGAGCAAAGAGGGGCAACTGTAGACATTAATTTTTTCATCATATTATTATTATTATTATTATATTATTTATATTATTAAATAAAAAATTACAGACCTGATCCATTTACACCGGAGCCCAGTTCTGGCCTAATAGATGACCCAAATGCTTTAGGGTTTATAATATTTCAGCTAGGGTTTTCTAGCCCTAGCCCCAGCCGCCAATAATCCAGAATCCTCCACACCGCCGCCGCACTTGCTTCCAAGTGCTCCAACCAGTTGTTGTTGATGCCCACTGCCACGACTCCACCCTAGCCTAGGACTCCAGAAGCTCTGCTGCCATGACAACGTCTGTCCACGTTGAAGCTATTATGGTGAGTCACCACATAGTTCGGTGACTCACCACATAGTTCGGTGACTCACCGAAATCCACCCTTAGGACCGTTCCAAGGCGAGCCTCGATGGTGGCTATAAAGCCACTGAACCTACAAGACCATCAATGGTAGCCAACAACCACGAAGAACACGGGAAAAAAAACAACAACAATAAAACAGAAACCAAGAGAGAATGAGAGCAACCACAGCAACAAACAAAAAAGAAAGAGAGAAGAAATGGAGAGAACTTACCACCGAGGAAGCTACACCGTCATCAGAGCCTCCACACGCCGCCAAAGAAACCGAAATACGTGGGTATTTCTGTAGATCTAGGTAATTTCAAGGTTGTTAAAGGGAAAACGAGGTCGGATTCGTCCTTAAGACGGTGGGATCTATATTTTGGGAGTTCCGACCACCGCTCACGGTGGCTAGCGGTGGTGATCGGCGCCGAAAATTGACCGTCGGCCGATGACCGGCCAACCTCCGGTGGGAGGTTTTAGAGAGAAGACAGAGTTTCTCTCTCTAAGAGAGAGAAGCTGAAAATGAAAATGAAAGAAAATGGTCATTTTGGGCCGGCTGTAGGGTTTAATACCCTCCCCGAACGGTGTCGTTTTGGGGGGTATTTTTGTAAATTCCTACATGGTCAAACCACACGCACAGTCCCTCCATGTTTTGTAAATTTCCATTTTAGTCACTGAAGTTGAATTCTGAACCTTTTAATTTGGTCTCGTAATTTTTCTTTTATTTTATTTTAGTCCCTGTTAATATTTAGTAAATACTTAGGATATATACTAGATTTAGTCTCTTTAATTTAATTAATTTTTATTTTAATCCTGAATAAATATATATGGTTAAATTACATTAATTATTACATTTTATAATATTTTGAATTAGAGCCTTTAACTTAGATATTTTGTATTTTAATCATTGATATTCTAATTACTTTCATTTTTGACCATTCATTTTATTATTTTACGATTTAATTCTACAGTTTTAAATTATTTTATTTTAGTCATTATTTAATATAATTTTATTCTATTTCTATATTGTCATTTATTTTTCAATATGTTTAAATTAGTACTTTATTTATTTGTTATTTATATTTTATTCACTAATATTTATATGAAATACCATATAATAATTTCATAATATTTATTTATTTTTAATATTAAGAAAGGGCAGTTTTGAAGCAACTGGATGTTCATTTTCTGATATTTTTAATAAATAAATATTTTACTTTTATAAATTATATATATTATTTTTAAATAAATATTTTACTTTTATAAATTATATATATATTATTTTTTAATGTTTTATTAATATTTATTTATTTTTTAATATTAAGAAATGAGATGTCTTAAAGCACCTATAAGTCATTTTCTGATATTTCTAAGTAAATAAATATCTTATTTATAAAAATAAATAAATAAATATATATATTAATATATTTTCTTAAAATTATAGTAATAAATTTGAAATAAATAGGATTATAAATTAAATATATCTTTGAATATTGAAATTTCTAATAATAGAGACAAATTATAATTAATGAACACCAATTTTGGGCGTTGTGGGATGCTAATCCTTCCCCAAACGTAATCGACCACGAATCCCTTTTATTATTAAAAAGAACAAATTTTTGGTTAAAACGCAGTCCAGTTTATCTTTTAATTGATATTTTCTTAAAAACTCTTTCAAAAGATAATTTTTAGGTATTCGACCTACCTGACCCAAAAGGCCGATGGCGACTCCCAAAACATTTAAAAAAAAACTATTTATTCACATCACTTTTCCCGTCAAGTAAAAATTTCGTACCCGGACGAAAACTAGTTTCGACACTTATATTAGATAGGATGATTTCAACACTTTCGATCCATCGGGCAGGTAATTTGTTAGAAGAAGAACAGCTAAAAAAGTGGTCAAATAAAGAGACGAAATAAAAGTTGGAACCATCAATCTTCCTGTGAATTTGTTTCCACCCCTAAAGATCTTGTATCTTTATATTATTATGAGTTAATTGCATCATATATTCATAAACTATGATCTTCATTTTAAATTGAGTCCTAAACTTTTGAACATTCTAATTTCATCCTCAAACTATGATTTTATTTAGGTTCTTAAATTTTTTGGGTCAATTTAGGTATCTAACGTTTTTAATATTACCGTTTAGGTGCATGGATCGTGACAAACGTTAAAAATATTCTGTCAATCACTCATAATGTGACAAGTGATGCCTTAATAAATTTTTAAAAATTTTATTTTAGAAAAAAAATAAAATTATTATTATTTTTAAAAAAAAACACTCAAAAATATTTCTAAAATCCCAAAAAAAATCCCAAAATCCTTAATCCTAAAGCATCCATTCCACCGGCTGCCACCTATCCACCCATCGCCCGTCGTCAATCGTGGCTTCAAACCTCCAAAATCCCTAAACCCAAATCCTTAAATCTAAACCTTAATTTCCTAAATTACAACACTCGTCTATCCCAATTGGTGGGTGGTCGGCGGGTTGGTAATCGACAGGTGAGTGGGTGGCCGCGACAGTGGTGGTGGTCGGCACCGGAATTGAAGGTCTTGGGGTATTTAGTGAAAAATAGGAAAAGTTGAGTTTTTTTTTAAATTAAAGAAAATAAAAAATAAGCCACATGTCCGATATTGATTGATTGACTTATTTTAAACATATTTTTTAATGGTTGTTCGACGTAGACACCTAAATGATAACATTAGAAACATTAGGCACCTAAATTGATCAAAAAGGATTTAGGCACCTAAATTGATCAAAAAGGGTTTAGGCACCTAAATGGGTATGGGCACTTATTTTTATATTAAGCCTTCATTTTAAATTTATCCTCGAACTTTTGAACATATCAAATACATCTCCAAACTATAACTCTCATTCTATATTGATCTCCAAACTTTTAAATATTCTAATTTTAACTTTGAAGTTTTGAATGATTTAGGGGGATGTTATTGGAATGTTCAAAAGTTTGAGGCCTAATTTAGAATAAGGGTCATGTTTTGAGGATGAATTTGGAATGTTCAAAAGTTTGGGACCAATTTAAAATGAGTCATAGTTTAGAGATGAATTTGGTATGTTCAAAAGTTTGGGGACTAATTCAAAATATTTGTCATAGTTTGAGGATGTCTATTGCAATTAACTCTATTATTATTACTACTATTATCATTTTTTTCTCCCACCTACTCCATCACGAAGATTAACCATTCCACATTAATTAATCCATTAAATCTCTTTCACTCTTGCATTTCCCCTCAACCCCTTTGATTCTTTTAAACAAACTACTCATCATATTCAAATCACCTTTGATTCATGTTTCATGTGAACCACAAATGAAGTATGTTTAGATCTTTTTTTGGAGGCTGGAACAGAAAATTTATGTCAATGGCCATTATCATAGCTGTGATTCTTCTATTTCTCGGCATTGGAATGCTGGTTATTCTCCATATATGTATAGTAGGCGGATCCTTCATCATGAGAGGATTCCGAAGCCCTTTGAGATTCGATGTAAACAATAACAATCACAAGAACCGAGCTATGTCCGAGGACGATATTCAGAAGCTTCCATGTTATGATTACAAAGCCAAGGACAGAGAAAAGTTCTTGGCTCCCAGTCTAGGATTGTGCTGTCTGCTTGGAAGAGTTCAAGATGGGTGAAAGATGCAGGCTTTTGCCACTTTGCAAGCATAGTTTTCATGCTGAATGTGTGGATTCATGGCTTTTGAGGAACCCCATTTGCCCCATTTGCCGAACAGGTGCCAGTTCGGGCAAGCCGGGGTCGGTTTTAGGTGAGCAACCTGGTCATCAGGGTGAAGATTTTGTTGAGTTGAGAGAGCATCATAGCAGGGGAAGCACCAATTTAGATGATGTTAGAATTGAAGTAAGAAAATTCGACTTAAACGACGACGACAACATCAACACGAATCGAACCATGTCCGAGGATGATGTTAAGAAGCTTCCATGATATGATTACAAAGCAAAAGACAAAGGGAATGATTGTAATCAAGTATTGGATTGCGTTGTCTGCTTGGAAAACATCAAGATGGGTGAAAGATGCAGGCTTCTGTCACTTGGCAGGCATAGTTTCCGTGGTGAATTTGTGGATTCATGGTGTTTAAAGAATCCCATCTGCCCCGTTTGTCGAACTGGTGCCGTCGTGCCGGTTCGGACGAGCCGGGGTCGGTTTTAGGCGACCTGAACCAGTCGTTTCAATGAAGCTTTTGTTGAGTTGAGAGATAACCATATCAGGGAAAGTAGCCCTTCCAATGATGTTAGTCTGTAACATCTAGAAAATTTTAAAATGTATTGTTTTAATGTCGAAAAAGTAAGTCCACTATTAATATACCATTATCCGTACATGAAATAATAATTTTTAGGATAAAGTATACAAATGATCCCTTGACTTAAGATATAACTTTGTTGAATCCCTCAACTATTAAAAGTTACAAAATGCTCCTCCAACTACAGGTCATTGCTTTGTTGAGTCCATCGACTATTAAAAGTTATAAAATGATCATCTGTTTATTCATATATTCCAAACTCATCATTTTTCTATTAAAAAAATGATCTCAAACGACTATACAACTCAAATGATTATGAGATTAAATTTTATCTCTCAATCACGATATTAACGTCTAGCTCAGAAAATCATCAAAATTTTTAATGAAAAATGACGATTTGGAATATATGAATAGTTGAGTGACTGATTTTGTAACTTTTAATAATCGAGAGACTCGACAAAGCAACGCCTCATAATCGAGGAATAATTTATAACTTTTAATAGTCATGGGACTAAACAAAATAATATCATATAGTCGAATGATCATTTGCATACTTTATTCTAATTTTTAAAGGATTAGAGCAGGATTGGTGAGTGACTGATTTTGTAATTTTAATAATCGAGAGACTCGACAAAGCGCCTCATAATCGAGGAATAATTTATAACTTTTAATAGTCATGGGACTAAACAAAATAATATCATATAGTCGAATGATCATTTGCATACTTTATTCTAATTTTTTAAAGGATTAGAGCAGGATTGGTTATTAACTAAATATTTTTTGAATCAAGTTTAATTTATCAAATTGTCAAAATTCTATGGGTCATGTTTCTATGCGTACAACATAGTATCTATAGTAATAATCAAGTATCGATATTATTTATTTTTAAAAATAATTTTTAAGTTATTGACCATACACAAATATTCTACAAATATAATTATTTAAATCCAAATATTCTAAAAAAACAATCTTTCTTTTTTACCGCTTCTTAATATACTGGCTTAAGGTTGCATTAAACTCTCAATTTTTTGAGGAAAAAATTAATTAAACCCTTTAATTTTTTTACATCCATTGAATTCTTAAATCAAAAAATTAAATCAATTAAGCTTTCAACTCGAGAAATTGAATAAGTTAAGCCTTTGACATTTTGATCATTAAACCGTAATGTTTTTTTAAATATTATTGTCATATGGTATACTGTAATTCTGTCACATGAAAATTATAGATTATTAAAAAAATCTAAAGAAGATTATTAAAAAAATAAAATAATTCCAAAAAGTATTAAAATAATATTTTTGAATAGTTTGAGGAGATTATCATGTAGTATCATTTTATAATCTTTATTAACTATTTATAATCTACGCAACTATTTAAATCCAAAACTTCAAGAGAGAACAATACTCCTTTTAACCACTGAAACTATTTAATGAGTTTAAAAACAATAAATTTTAAAAATATCACGCGACAACAATGTGATATTACATATGATATCAATTGATTAAAAATTTAGTATTAGATTTAAATTTTAACCCTAATATATTTTATTTGGGTAAATTAAAAATTTAGTAACTAAACTTTATATATCGATTGTTTTCACTCTACCATGACTTGGATATGATATAGATTTTTTTATTAATATTTTCATATGACATGTTAGTTTTAATTAATATTTTAATGCCATATATGATTTTAATAAATAAATAAATTTAAAAATATTAAATTATACCTTTTAAATTTACACACGTACCCTAAATCCATAAATTACACTCCAAACCCTAAATTCTAAATTACAACTTCACCCCACACTCCTACCAAAGCCTCACCCTAATACCGGTGAACGGTAACTCATCGACAGTCTCACCTGTGGAATGAGTATTGGACAGTGTATTGTTCTCCTTACGTTCCATATCAATGGAGGATAAGCGACGAACCGCTTGAAAACCTCCTACCTAAACTAAGATCTGTTTCTGACCCAAAAAGTCGGTAATTAATAGTTGGCGTAGGCGTTGTTCGTTACCTTTCGGATACTCTCTACTTTTCTTCTCTGACAAAACAAGAGAACACCATTTCTACTTTATTAAATCTGTCGATTACTTCGCGTGATTATTTCGTATCCATCCCCAACCTCCTCAACGTGTTATCTCACGTTCTGAGCAATTCGACTTCACATGCGACAATTCAATCCTGCGCTATCACGATTCATAGCCTACTCATCGCCGACGAGTCTTACCGTCTGATAATCGGGTGAGAATGGTAGTGACTAGTGAGGGGGTTAAAATAATGGAAGGGATTGCAGAGGTGGGTGAGAAGAGGTGCGAGGGGGACGAGAGACGTTTTAGATGATAATGTTTGTCTGTCGGTACTCATCTCACAAGTGAGGCCATTAATGAGCCACCGTCATTCAGGGGGGAGGGTTAGACTGTCAAGTGGGAGGGTTGGGTATAATTTGGGGATTAGGGTTTGGTGAATAATTTAAGATTTATAAATTTATTTGTTTTATTAAAATCATATTTGGTATTAAAATATTCATAAAATATAACACATCATATAAAAATAATGATAAAATAATCCAAGTCAAGTAATAAAAAATTCAATGTATATAATTCAGTGATTAAATTGAAAAATTAAAAGTATAGTGAGTAAAATCGAAAAGAGTGTAAAAATCAGTTACTAAATTTATAATTTACCCATTTTATTTAGAATTTTGGAGACGGTTTCTTGGCTTTTGCATGCTATTTTTCTTCTCGGATGATCCGTAGTTTTTGTTAAGCATTTTATTATGAGTATCAAAATATGCTTATCGACAAATTGACAACGGAAAATATAGACTAAATTTAATAAATATTAAATAAAATATAATTTATATACATTTTTTATTAAAAAAATTAACTGACTTTGATTATTTATTATTTAAAAAATTTTAGCTTGAGGAGGAAAAAGAAATTTATTTAATAGGCAATGAATGCATAACTTAGAAGAGAAAAGAGGTCAATTGAAAGTTTTTGATCATTTGCTCTGAGATGGTTGACTCGATTACTCATTTATAAATATAAATAAACCAAACGTCAATAGTTAGTACAATATATTTATAATATAAATTTTGTTTCAATATAAATCAATCATCAACGCAATTTTAATATGAGACATACTTTTATGTTATATTTTGTCTAAATTCGAGAAACATTAGTGGCGGGTCTATTGACGGCTAAGGATAGGTATATCTATTTTAAAATTTAAATTTTCTTCGATTAATTATCTATTGACTGATGATGTCTACCTTAAAATTTTATTTGTGCAACCTTGAAACCCAAATTTCTTTAATATTTATTGTTTTACTGAGATGCCACTCTAAAAAATTTTGGATCCACCGCCAATCAAAATACATTGTTACCATCTTGGAAAGAGAGCTGAACAAAGATCATGTTAGATTTGAAATATTCCTTGGAATGTCTTGTTTTCTTCTTCTTCAAACTGTGATTTCTCAGGCAAGCTATAGCTTCTTATGTCTTTTGTTCTGTAAGAATGTATAGGCCGGCATCAATATATGAATCAAAGGTATAATTCAAATTTAGTCCTCCACATTTTGATTCTCAACTTTTTTAGATAAGATCAAATCATTTTATGAATTAAATTGTTCATTAAAATATTACATTTTAACAGTTTTAGAGTCACAGTTGCACGTGAATCCATCAACTTAAGTGATAAAAGGGAATATTGTTCTCCTTACAAGTCTGAGTTCGAGTAATTGCGTTTGTAGGTGCATAAGCATGTTAATGATTAAGAAAATATTGAACATATATTATCTAATAATTATCCCAAACTATTAAAAAAATGATAATTCCACATAGTTGTTCACGTGTACTTTATTCTAACATAACATTATGTTTTATATGTCATGTTAATAATAATTTAAAACTATAGATGACACATTAACGTTGTTGAAATTTAACGTTTAACCAATATTCAATTTTAAAAATAACAAAAAGGTGTAAACAACTAAACATTAAGGACTAACTACATATTATACCATATCAATATTGTATGCTAAAACGATGTTAACGTTAGTGTATTTAAAGGCAAAAGAACATGTTGATCAAAATCAAATGGTAGACTATCCAAGCTTCATAATCTTCCGAATCGATCATGAAAATGACTTGCAATTTCACTATCGTCTGCATTTCATCATGACCACATCACTACAAAAGTTGCAGTTTCCAGGCTTCAAAAACAAACTGCACCCTTGATCTTGAATTCGAGCAATCCTCGAATTCAAGCAACAAAAATGGCGATTGGGGTGGATTTCTTGACGATAACCATTGTGGAACAACGTTCAATGGCTACCTCAAAGCATTAGCTATTCGAGCAAATCGAACGGGCATCATATTCTGGATTCAAGTGAGCAACAAGGTGTTTGAATTCCATGAAACGATTCGAACAACATGGTTCGATTTGTGGGATTGAGAAGCTAACGTCGGGTTCCGGGGAATGCTCGGATTATTCGACGGTCGATGTCGATAAGAAACTGGGGAATGAAGTGAGAAATTTGAGTGAGAATTGCAGAGTTTCGTGTGGTTGGTGTGTTGAAAGCTGGGAATCCATTGATGGAGGTTCACATTCTGAAGAGTCCATGGTTTGCAGGTTTGCTGTGCTGGTTGCAATGACGAGTCTCAAGGTTGAAGATGAT